GTGTACAATAAAGCGAATAAAATCAGAAAAATCATTGAACTTCATTGTTTCTTGAGCAAACTTTGCAATTTACATCTTCGTTCGAATTTCCCAACTTTCTTTTTTTTAAAAGAAATGAAAATTTACACATAATATTTTTTCAAATTAGCTATGTTCCATGACCTGGCAAGCGATCGGCCCTCAGCATCTTTCAGCAAGTACGCTCCTCCTGCGTGCACTCGCTCGACCAGGTATGGCCCTTCCCAATTCAGCTCCAGCTTTCCCACATGCTTGAGCACATCGACACGCTTCCAAACCAGATCGCCTACTTGGAGTCTGCGAATCTTCACCTTTTTGTCGTGAGCGGCTCGCATTCTTTGCTTGTACACCTCCACCTTGATTGCTGCTTTCCCGCACAGCTCCTCAATAGTATCTAAGGCCGCCATCATCAGCTCCCCGTTCTGTTCAGCATCATACGTGCTCGACCTCTGGGATGATAACTCGACCTCGACCGGCAGCAACGCTTCCATTCCATAAGCTAAGCAGAACGGGGTTTCTCCTGTCGTCGACCTCGGGGTTGTGCGATATGCCCAAAGTACAGAACTCAGTTAATCGACCCATGCTCCCGAGGCCTTCTCCAACTTTGTTTTCAACCCACTCGGTATAATTCGGTTGGTTACATCGACCTGGCCATTGGCTTGCAGATGAGCAACGGAGGCAAAGTGTTGCTCGATTTTCATGTCTTCACACCACGCTCGAATCCGCTTACCATTGAATTGAGTGTCGTTGTCGGAGATCAACGCTTTGGGTACGCCAAACCGACAGCAGATGTTATTGTACAGAAATTTAATTACTTTCTCCTCCGTTATTTTTGCCAAGGGCTCGGCTTCCACCCATTATGTGAAATAATCGACCGCCACTATTAAGACCTTCCTCTGCCCAGTTCCCTGAGGCATAGACCCCACCAGGTCGATACCCCACTTGGCGAACGGTATAGGGGAACTCATCGTTGTCATTGCTTCTGCCGGTTGGTGGATAAGGGGGCCATGTTTTTGGCATTGCAAGCACTTCTTCACCATCGCTTTCGCATCTTCCCTCATCGTTGGCCAAAAATATCCCGCCCTTAAAATCCTTGCGACCAAAGCCCCTGACTTGCTATGGTCCCCGCAGCATCCTTCGTGCATCTCTCTCAGCACATATCGACCTTCTTCCTTAGTAACACACCGCAAATGGGGTCCCCCATACGACCGTTTGTAAAGAATGCCTCCATGCTCAAAAAACCTTCTCACCACTTTTATCGTTCCTTCTTTCAGCTCCTCCAACATTGGGGCCCTCCAATCTTCCACTTCTTCGATCTCCACCACTTCTGCTTCGACCATACTCCTCTCCAGATGCAATAAAGTGACACTTCTGCTCTTGCAGTCCACCAAGCTCTGAGCGATTTTCGATAATAGGTCCGCCCGACCATTTTCTCCTCGAGGAATTTGTATCAGCTCGACTGAATCGATCTCCTCCTTCAACTTCCTCATTTCATCTACATACTTTTGCATCCGGTCCTTCTTGACTTCAAATCCCTCCTGAAACTGCCCAACCACCAGTTGAGAATCAGAATGCACTTGTACTTTTCGAGCTCCTCCCGCCTTGGCTAAACTCAGGCCTTTGATTACTGCAAATTCCCAATCGCCTTTAGGAGAAACAAGGACAATTCCCAATCCTGCCCCGCTTCGCGCCATAGATCCATCCACAAACAGCTGCCATAACCCTCCTGACTCCTCCTCGACTTTCGTGCCCTCCTGGATAAAATCGGCCAACACTTGCGCCTTTATGGCCCTCCTCGGCTCATATAATATAGAATACTCACTTAACTCGACCTCCCATTTCACCAATAGACCAGAGACCGATGGTCGGCCAAGCGTTTCTCCCAACGGCATGTTTGTTCGTACTCTCACTTTATGGTTCAAGAAATAAGGTCTCAACTTTCGAGCCGTTACGACCACGGCCAATGCACACTTCTCAATCTCCGAGTATCTCATCTCTGCCCCCTGCATCACCCTACTGACGTAATAGATAGGAAATTGCGCTACTCCTTCCTCCCGTAACAATACCGAGCTCACAGCCCTATCTCCTATAGAAATGTATAGCACCAACTCCTCGCCCTGTACAGGTTTAGCCAATAGGAGAAGGTTGGCTAAAACCCCTCGCAGCTCCTCAAAGGCCCCCTGCACCTCCTCCGTCCATTGGAATTTTGCACTCTTCTTCAATGTCCTAAATAATGGTCCACTCTTCTTCCCCACTTTCGATATGAAACGGCTCAGCCCTGCAATTCGACCAGCTAAGATCTGCACTTCTTTAACATTCGTCGGCGGCTTCATTTCCATTACGGCTCGAACCTTCTCAGGATTCACTTCAATACCTCTCTTGGTCACCAAG